AGGACGAGGTGGGCCGCCTGGCGCTGGCGCTCGAGGCGCTGCAGGCGCAGGTGCAGGCGCAGGAGGCGCCGAGAGCCCTGGAGGAGCTGCAGGCGCAGATGCAAGAGGTGCGCGCTGAACTCTACACCCGGGACGCGGAGGCGCGGTCCAAGTCCACGTCCAAGTCCGAGAAATAGGCTGCTGAAACCTGAACTCGGATGTGGCCATGTGCGCCCTAATGTGCTGGCCCAGCGGAAGCCACTGAGATTTTGATGAACTTGGCTGTTGGTCACCCCCTGCTGACCAGCGGTAGTACCTTGCACTGGGACTGTGAAGCGTTCCAACATAGCCCCCTCCTTGGCTCATTGGTACAGCCCGCAGTGCTCACCTCTCCACCCCATCCCAAACCTCACCGGCCTTCCAGGTCCCAGCCAGCAGGGAGACATGCTCACTCCTCTGGCAGAAGGAAAACATGGAACCTGGACCTCAGCTGAGCAGCCTGTCAAGCTCCCCATTTGCCTGGTCAGTGCTACCTTCCCTGGGACACTCGGCCATTACACGGAACACCCCCTTCTTTTGATCAGTTGATCCAGACCATTGTAAGGAATGCAGTGTCTTTCCCTGGACTTCTGTCCCCCTTAAGAGGGGGAAAGGATCCTGGCTTGCAATTGATCCACCGAATATCTTTCCTAACCTGATCTGTGAGACCTCCTGAGTCCTCAAGTGGAATACTCCAACAGAGCCCTCTCCTTCAGTCTGTGGCACCACCCACTGGAATGGCTGGTCTTCTCAGGCAGTGCCCTCCCAACCCCCCTGACGTGGTGGACTTTGATTTTTCCCAGGGCTAATCAACTTGCCTTTCAGCCTCAGCTTCCTGTTATCTGTAGCCAGATTCCCCGGGCCTTTCCTGGCTGCCCCTTCCTACCTTCCCCAGGGCCATGGATTAGATGATCACATCCCCCATGTTGCCTTTAAATGCTGATCTGTGGGCTCCTGCCCCCTCCCCTGGGGCTCCAGACTGGTCCAGTAGTCCCTCTTCATGCACTGGTACCTCCTGCCTCCATAGCCCCAAGTGCCACCTCCATCTCCCTGGTGTGGGCCCCTAGTTGGTTTTGCCTTCTTTAGTCGTTTCCTAGGGCAGCCTAACAAATTACCATAAATTTGGTGGCTTAGGACAACCAGAATTTATTCTCTCCAGTCCTAGAGGCCACAGATCCAAAGTCAGCTGTTGGCACTGCCTCCGAAGGCTCTAGTGGGGGATCCTTGTCTCTTCCAGCTTCTGGTGTCTCCAGGCTCCTTGGCTTGCGGCTGCATTCCCTCCAGTCTCCGCCTCCATCCTCACGTGGCCTTCTCTTCTGTCTCTTATAAAGACACCTGTCCATTGGATTTAGGGCCACCCTAACTCTAGGAAAGACCCTTTTCCCAAATAAGCTCACATTCACAAGTTCCATCACCTCGCTCCACCTCCCCACCCCAAGAGTGTGCTGGGACTCCTGCCGACCCCATGGGACATTTGACCTTCCCCACATGCGAGAGGAACAGTCCAAGGAGAGCTCCTATTTTTCAGACTGTAGGTGTTTCCTAATTAAAGGACTGAGAACCATTATATGGATCTCCAAAATGGGTACAAAGCTCATTAAAATTAGGAGAGAAGCTGAGAGATCTGATGGGGGTGAGAGTCATCCTATGAACGGTCCCAGATGGGGAAACTGAGGCTTGGGAAGCCAAGGGACTTGCCCAGGACCATGAAGCCCATGAGGGATGGGAGCCAGTGGCACTGGGAGGGAAACGGGAGCCCAGGTGACCCTGGGTGCAGGGTGCTTGAGGGAACAGGTGGGGAGCAAGAAGGGAGATGAGGGGGAGGCAGGTCACTGGGGGGAGGGGTGGGAATCTCCACAGAGGTCCCAGAGCGGTGCTGAGAGTGGGTGGTCCTCCATCCCCAATCACAGCCACCCAAGACCTTGGCATTCAGTGAATGGGCGTAGTCATAGACCAGGAAATGGGTGGGGCAGGTTTTCTTCCACTTCCCCCAGGTGGTTAAAAACACCTGGCCACAAGACCTGGTAGAAACCCGGTAAACTGGGTTAGTGTAACATCAATTCTTCGTAGAAGAAAGGGAGAGTCTGGTGTAGAGGGCGAGGAGATGGGTCATGGGTGGGGTGTTCTACAGTAGGAGTGACCCAAGTGGGTTAAATGATGAGAGGAAGAAGGCAAGAGATACCAGTGCATGGAAGGGTGGTGGACCGAGGAGCCAGGTGGGCAGGCTCAGTGCCTGGTTTCCATGGTTACCCCTGAGAGGATTCACTCTGGCCCTGTCACATCTCTGGAGGACCAGTTGCTGGACGTCAGGGATCTTGACTGCGAACCCCTCCCCCATCATGTTAATAAACAGCAGTCAGGTGGAATCCTTTGAGCTCTGGGTGGGTGTCAGGCACTGTTCTAAGTGCTTTTCATTCATGAAGAAGCTGAGGCACAGAGAGGGGAAGTCACCTGCCTGAGGTCACACAGGCAGGAAAGAGGAGGAGGCAGGAGCCCAAGCCCCTGACCCTGTGCCATCTGACCCTGAGGTAGCGCTGTGCTCACGTGTGAGATTGAAAACAGCCCCTGCCCTGGCCAATTTGGCTCAGTGGATGGAGTATCAGCCTGTGGACTGAAAGGTCCCAGGTTCGATTGCAGTCAAGGGCACACGCCTGGGTTGTGGGCTTGATCCCCAATAGGGGGTGTGCAAGAGGCAGCCAATCACAATTCTCGTCATTGATGTTTCTATCTCTCCCTGTCCCTTCCTCTCTGAAATCAATAAAATATGTTGAAGAAAAAGAAACAGCCCGTGTGTGTGTTGATGTGCCCAGACCTGTGGGCTGCAACAGCTTCACCCACCGGGTGGGGGTGGGATCAGGGTGTGGGCAGGTGGGAAGGGCGCCCTCTCAAAATACACGAGGCCGGAGGATGGATGGTTCATCGCTCCAACTTACTACAGAAATTTTGTATGCATTTGCGACTTGGGGAAAGAGGGGTTAGAATAAATTTGTAATTCAAGTTGGTTGTGTTCAAATTGCTGCTTTTTTTCGTATTTGAAAAATCCCTGTTAATCTTAGCAAAACTGTCCTTCGTTTATTCTTTCATTTAAGACACTGTCACCCAGGTGCCCATTATTCGCCCTGCCTTTTCTGTGTCATGTGGGTCCCAGCGGTGACTGGGACAGCCTCACCCTCCCTCACAGGACTCGCAGTCCAGTGGGAAGACAGACGCACATACAGACTTTCCCCCCGAAGTGTTACCTGCCCAGCCTCTGGTTACTTAGGAATCAGGCTGAAACCAGATTCCTCCCTCCAGAGGTACTCGGCGCTTTAGGGAGGAAAGAACAGAAACCCATGCACACTGGCTCACAAAAGCCTCAAAACGTGCCTGGGCCTCTGTCTCTCCCAGCTCCCGGCAGGCCCTGTCCATCCCATGTTGTTTTTTTTGTCCAGAGGAGAGGGCCACCCCAGAGCAAATGGACTTCAGGAGGCCCCTGCTATCCCTGTACGAGCCACTGTGACACTGAGTGGCTAGGCTGGGTCCCTCAGCCCCAAGGACAGAGGAGAATCTACCCTCACATTAAACAGATGTTTACACCACGCCCCGTTCCAGCCGCTGAGAATTAATGGAGAACAAGACAAAGTCCCCGCCGCTGACACGTGGGATGGCAGGCTCGGTCTCTCATTGCGTGGTTCTCATCTCACGAAGCTTGAAGAATAAATTCGCAGACTAAAAGATTTCAAGCAAAAATGTGGAAGTTCATGGCGAGCGCATACAAACTCCCCCTGGAGAGACTCCCCAAATGGAGAAAACCTGCTCTCTCTAAAATGGGGAGAACCTAGTCCTTTTCGTCTCTTTGTCTACCAGTTTGTAAATGCTGGGAGCTTCTTCGTCCGTTCATTCCACTTTCTAATTGGACCCTTCCTTATTTTATGTCCCCCGAGCTTTCCTAATTGGTCTCATTCCCCCTTTCCCTGCATGGGCTCAGTTTCAAAGTTTCTAAGCTCAGCAAGCACCCCCCTCTCCTTCTTCCTTATCTTGTAAGATTCTTGTAAACAATCGGGCCTTGGCGCTGTCTCTACGCATCACGTAGGCATTCCTCTCCTCTGGACCCCCTTCCCCTAACCTGCCTCTCCCGATTCTCAAATCCTTTCACTGTTATGGGCTGACATCTGGTGCGGGGAAAGGGACAGTAAAGACGTCAGGAACTAACCCAGGGTCAGAGTTCAGGAGTAATGGGGACAGCCGATTTAGATCAGGGGGTCTTGGAGGAAGCCACGTTTGAGATGAGCCCAAAGGCAGCTGCCGGGGAGTCAGAAAGGGCTATTAGTATGGACGGAGGCCCTGAGGCAGGTGTGGGATTGGCCGGTTCCTGGAACAGCAGAAGGTTCTGTTACCGGGATAGAGCAGGGGTTAATGGACCAAGGCCCTGAGGCCAAATCCAGTGTCCACAGTCACGCTCATTCGTGTATATATTTTTCAATGGCAGAGTTGAGTATTTGCTCTAGATATCCTATGGCCTGAAAGACAAAAATACTTACTATCTAGCTCTTTACATAAAGAGTTTACCGACCCCTGGAAAAGAGGAAGTGAGGGGAGAGGGGGGTGATGGAGGGGGTCAGAGCACAAAGGACAGCCCCCTTGGCACAACTGGAGGTCATGCCAGCTCTAGGTGCCCATCAGATAGACTGTTGGGACTGCATTCACCTCAGCTCTCCCTGCCCAGTCCTGCCTCCTCCAGCCCCACCCACAGCAGCTGTCCCCGGAGGCTCCAAGGTACCCCCACTGCACATAGGCCTCAGTCTCCATCTCCATTTCCAGGAACCAGTTATATAATCGACACATATGCACAGTTTTTTCTTAAAAATATTTTTTATTGATTTTTTTTAACAGGAAGGGCGAGAGATAGAGAGTTAGAAACATCGATGAGAGAGAAACATCCACCAGCTGCCTCCTGCACACCCCCCACTGGGGATGTGCCCGCAAGCAAGGTACATGTCCCTGACCGGAATCAAACCTGGGACCCTTCAGTCTGCAGGCCGACGCTCCATCCACTGAGCCAAACCGGCCAGGGCCATATGTGCAATTTTTATATAATCCACAGTTTTCCCTCAATATGCATTTCTAACACTGCATAATTAGTGCATTATGTGACAACTTATAAAGAGGTAATATGCAAATTGACCATCATGGCTTCACACAAGATGGCTGCTTCCATGTGGGCACAAGATGGCCGGCAGAGGAGGGCAGCTGTGGGTGACCAGGCCTGCAGGGGAGGGCAGTTGGGGGGGACCAGGCCAGCAGGGGAGCAGTTAGTTTTTGATCAAGCTGGCAGGGAGTGGTTAGGGGTGATCCGGCAGGCAGTCAGGCGAGTGGTTGGGAGCCAGCAGTCCCGGATTCTGAGAGGGAAGTGCAGCTGCTGGTTTAGTCCTGATCCCACAGGGGGCCTAAACCAGCAGTCATACATTCCCCGAGGGATCCTAGATTGGAGAGGGTGCAGTCTTGGACTGAGGGACACCACCCCACCCCCGCCCTCCAGTGCACGAATTTCATGCACTGGGCCCCTAGTAGTATATAATGGACTATAAAAATATATTTTATGTAATATGTAACATCACATTGTACATTATATGTTGTATGTGTTTATATATATCATTAGAATAGAAGTTTCACTAAATCCCTTAATATGTGCAGTCTATTTCCTATTTTATTGTATTTCGTTTCATAAAGAAAAACTACAGATAGACCTAGCAGGTTTGGATCAGTGAATAGAGCGTCGGCCTGTGGACTGAAGGGTCCGGGGTTCAATTCCGGTAAAATGCATATGCCCGGGTTGTGGGCTCAATGCCCAATAAGAGGCATGCAGGAGGCAGCCGATCAATGATTCCCTCTCATCATTGATGTTTCTATCTCTCTCTCCCTCTCCCTTCCTCTCTGAAATCAATAATTAAGTATTTTAAAAAACAATACAGTGAAGTGTGTAAACTGCACTGTATGTGGCTCAGTGACTCCTTACAAAGGGGTAAAACACGTGTAACCAGCACCCAGGTGGAGACGGAGGGCATTCCAGGGCCCAGAAGCTGCCGCCTGCTTTTTCCCAGAAAGCACCCTTCCCACGTAAACCACTATTCTGAAATCTATCTGTAGATAACATTTGCCTGGTCCTGGACTTAGTATCAACAGACTCGTATGGAATGTGTTTTTGTTTTGTTTTGTTTTGTTTGAATCCTCACCCAAGGATATGTTTTGTTTCCAGGGATCAAGCCTGCAATCAAGGTATGTGCCCTTGACTGGAATCGAATCCAGGACCCTTCAGTGTGCGGGCCGATTCTCTATCCACTGAGCCAAACTGGCTAGGGCTTTAAATTGATTTTGAGAGAGACAGGAACGGGGAGAGAGAGAAAAGGGGGAGGGAGGGAGAGAGAAACATCAGTTGGTTGCTTCCTGTACTCACCCTGACTGGGGATTGCCCCTGAAGCCTATGTATGTGCCCTGACTGGGAACTGAACCTGTATGGGCCGACACTCCAATCAACTGAGCCAGGGATGGAATGATCTTTTTTATTTGCGTGGGGGCTGGAGAGGGAGGGCATGGCTTCTTTTGCTCAGTATAATATCTGAGAGCTCCATCTGTGTTCTGTGTAGCAATCAAATACTCTTTTTCGTTGCTGTGTAGTATTCCACTGCTGACCACACACACTGTTTTACCGGCTGAATGATCTGCACGCAGGTGGTCCCCAGGCTTGGCTGTTATGAGCAAAGCTGCTAGGACCATCCTGGCAGAAGGCTGTGGTGGGCGTTGCCTTTGTTGTCGTTTTTCCACTTTACCAAGCTCTTTCCTATGCATTATCTATCTCACCGTCCTCTCAGCAGTCTTGTAAAATAGGTACAATTATTTTCTCTGTTTTACAAAAACAGGAAACAGGCCAGGAGGAGACAGAAACCTGAAGGGTATACCTATTGCTATTGTGTAGGAGGACAGGAAAGCAAAGGGAGGGGGAAAGAAAAGCAGCCGAATAGCAAATAATGGATTGACCACCTTTGGTTTCACGCGATCCACTTTGCCAGCGTAGCGTTCAAATTGATTACAAAGGGGAAAGGCAGTCACTCTCTTTAAGAAATCATGGGGAGTGGTTGCTGTGCGTAGGAATCAGCACTTCTACTTCGCCCTGCCAACACAGACAAGGATGCCCTTACCTCACTGCCCAGCCAGTCTCCACAGGCATGGTGGGTATCCGCGTGCGCCGCACTTGTTTCCCTGAGAGTGGGCGTGGGATTGCCGAGTCATAGGACAGACAATAGGGCGTTATCCTAGGAGAAACTGCCGGTGCCTTTTATTTTTTTTTAATATATTTTATTGATTTTTCACAGAGAAGAAGGGAGTGGGATAGAGAGCCAGAAACATCAATGAGAGAGATTGATCAGCTGCCT